AGATGTTTGTTTTCTTTGCAGTCCAAGGGACTCTCAAGAGCCTCCTCCAGCACAATTCAAAAGCATCCATTCTTCGGCGATCAGCCTTCTTTATGGTCCAGCTCTCACTTCCATACGTCATACATTATCTTAGTTTTTTAAATGTTGAGCTTCAGACCATTTTTTGCGCTTTCCTCTTTCACCTTCATTAAGAGGTTCTTTAATTCCTCAAATTTATTGATTTTCAGCAGGAGTCATTTGCATTTATGTTGTTCCAGTCCTGGTTCCTCAACAGGGTCTACTGAGCCCTGTAGCCCATTTGTCACCAGATGCCCAGAAGCTATAGCATCTGATGCGGTCCTTGTTGACCCGGGTGACAACCAATCCAGTATGGATTTCTGTTTATTTCTTCTCATCATAATTGATGGTTGGTGGACACAGTTGGTCTGGCTTCTCAGCTGAGAGCTGTCTGGCTTGGGAGCCCCTTCAGCATAACTTTCAACCTCACTGAAGCAGGCAAACCCCTCCACCTCAGCAAGGCCTGTGCCCATGGAGGGGCTACTATTACTATTCAAAAATACCAGGCACAATCAACATTATAAAAACGTTGACTGGTATTACATAAAAGATACAACTTTTAACCAAAAACCTAAGTACAGTATCTGTTAAATATCAACACAGTATGTATGCTGTTCTAATATTGTTGTTTTTTGTAGCTTTGATGGTATGCTTTCAGAGATCTTCAACTGATACATTGTTACTATTGCTACTGCTACTACTCTTAAATACACACTACAGTATTACCACAGAATTGGCTTGCCATTAACAACCATCCTTCGTATCCTGTTTCCCCCAAAAAAAGACCTAACATGAAAATAAGCCCTAATGTGTTTTTGGAGCAAAAATTAATATAAGACCCTGTCTTATTTTGGGGGAAACACGGCAGTTATCCTTCAAGAAAGCATGTATTCATCTATCCAGGCTATTGATCAGCCAAGCCCATTTAAGAGATTCACTGCACAGAACACTTAATAAAACCTTAGCAAACATTTAAAACATCACATCGTTATGTCTTGGGGAAAAACAGAACCCATCTAACTTCACTTCTCTGAGCTCGAATTTCCCAGCTGTCTCAGACTTCCTTTATATATTGTGTGTCCCTTGAATGGTACTCATTTGTTCTGATTCTTCGTACAAATTGCGACCAAAATGTTTTCGTGACAATTACAGCGGAACGCCTACTTCTTTACCTATTTCCTTAAACATACACATGAATGTACAGTATCTAAGAAAGTTAATTAACCCTTCCAAAATACTATGATTAGTGATGGCAGTTTTCTGTCCTAGGTTTTTGTGCTCCCCTTGTCACCAAACCTTGTTTCACTGATGTTATCATTACAGTTTTGCTGAGAAAAAGAGAACAGGGCAGTGAGCAATTTGGCTTCTTTTGTATGTTATGCAAACAATGGATCAAAGAGCTCATGTGGAGAACACAAAACCCTATAAAGCCAAAGCATCACAAAAAGCATAGTTTCTAAAATCCCTTTACCAGTTTAATTCATTTTACATTCTCCTCTGATTTCATCCCCAACTGGTAATCTTCTGTTCCCCTCCCAATTATTGTTGCTGTTTATTCCTTTTTGGATCTTTTAAAGTCCCAGTTATAGGGAGAAAGAGGGAAGCGGTACTGGAGTCAAAGAAGCTTGTACTTCACACCCTAAACTCACAACTCCAGAATGAAACGACAGGAGGAGGAGACCATTCCTGAAAAAACTTCTGCAGAAAAGCCTTTATACTGTTTTGATGCCATTTAACCATAATTAAAAGTTGTCAGTTGATATAAAGTTGATTTATTTTTTATAGATTATGATTAATTTCTATTTGGGTTTTCCTCCCAGATTAGTGCAGTTCCATTTTCTGAAAGCCAGTCTTATTTACTGCTGTTTTTATTATTTAATTGATTTCAGAGTTTATATAGTCAATTGCTGTACTTTTATCAATATAGTTTGGTGTGCTGAATCTACATTAGCTGGAGACGTATACATTTTCTTGGACCAAAAAAAATGACACAGAACAGTAAGCAAGGCTTCACACTGTCCATAACTTTTTATCAGGCAAGATGTTGCATAAGAGAGGGTGGAAAAGTCTGTTTGATGTTTTATATACTATAAATGATTTGCTACATTTTATTTACTGTACTGTAGTTTTAAAAGAAGTAGCCATGTTTGTCAGCTCGAACATGTCAGGCAAAAACAAAACAAAAAATAAAGACAAAAACATTGTGGCGCATTAAAGACTACTATATTTTAATGTGACCTTTCAGGAACAAGTTGACTTTATCATTTCTGAAAAAGCTGATTTATCCATGAAAGCTCACATTAAAATATACCCTGTTTCCCCTAAAATAAGACCCAACCTGAAAATAAGCCCTAGTATGATTTTTCGGGATGCTCTAAATATAAACCCTAGAATAAGCCCACTAGAATAAGCCCCAGCTAAGTGAAAGTCCTCCCTCCACCATTGAACAGCAACCAGAAGACGATGACATGACTGTATTTGAATAAACGTAGATTGTCGTACATGGAAAAAATAAAACATCTTCTGAAAATAAGCCCGAATGCGTTTTTGGAGCAAAAAGTAATACAAGGCCCCATCTCATTTCCAGGGAAACAGGGTAGCAGTTAGTCTTTAAGGTGCCACAACATTTTTGTCTTCCTTTTTAATTATTTTATTTATTGTTTGTTTCCTTTTTTGTTATAAGGCACTTTGAGCCTTTTTCTAATGGAAGAAATTGTTAAATGGCAGGTACAGTCAAAGTGGATTTCTATCTCATCTCACAAATAAGCAACACTATATTTGGTATTCAGATAGGAATGTTGCCTGGGAATCCTAGTTCAAGTTTGCATGGAAGAAAGAAGATATAATTTGTTAATTCACAATTTGAAAGTGACCTTGGGAACTCCCAAGTTATACTTTTTTATGCTAAATGTTCCGTCTGGCTAAAAAATTCGGTTGTAAGTCACAACCAGAGTACATAGTTGACTGAATGGAACTTACAAAGGACCTGACTCACCAAATCCTCACTGATCCAATGAGATTACTCTAGTTGTGACTCACTGTTGGATTTAGCCCATAGTCACTGAATTTATCTGACCTGATAAAGTGTTAATGCAGTTATCACTATCTGTGTATTCTTGCTCCTAACATACTGCCTGGGTTGCTCTCCCCAAATATTTAGTAATTGAATATCTATATACAGTATTTACACAGTTTCTGCCAGCTCTAGACAGCATACAGCAAGAAAAGGTCCAGTTCAGAGACGTTCATGTTATAATAAAAGGTATATAGCATTTAAGATCCCTCAAGATTTCCCTGTTCTTTCTGCTTACAAGTTAACACCATTCTCTGATCAGGCAAGAGGCACTGAGAAATTACATCATCTCAGCCTTGAAACGCGGGCTGAGAAATAGGTAAGGAATGCGCTCAAAGGCAGGGAAGCCTACGGCGCTTCTACGCACGAACAAATCCCGCCGAGACCGCGGCGACACACTCCCACGTAAACGAAACGCCGGACGCGGGGTCTCTCCATAGACCAGGGAACTGTCAAGAGAGCCCACGTAGCGCGCCTTCGAATGTACAGACACCCTCGGCCCCCCGGGGGGGGGTCTGAAAGGGGGGGGTGACCCGTCCGTGGGCGTGGCCCTCCGAAGCGAAGGGAGGGGGGGGGGGGAGGCCCCGGGGAGGGCAAAGCGGGTCGATCGGTCCGGCCGGCCGGCGGCTGCTCACCGTGAACTCCTGGAACCCGCTCAGCGAGAAGGCGCCTTCCTCGTCCAACAGGAGCTCGTTCAGATCCATCTCGGGGAGCGTGAGGACGGGGGCGACGAGGCTTCCTCCTCGTGGGCGCCCCTGCTTCAAGGCGGGGGCTGCGAATCCGCCGCTCTGCGGCCGATCCCGGGTCGGTCTTCGGAAGAAAGGAGCCGCTCGCCACGGCAGAAGGACGCCACTGCGGGATCCAACGCTGGTGGCGCAGCCGAAGAGGAAGCGGGGAGGAACGGCGGCCCCCCGTGCGGCTTCTCGCCTTCCTCTTCCTGGGGCGGACCAGGAG